CGCAATCGACCGCAACGCATACGCGATGCATCCCTGCAGCGCGCGTTAGCTTTCCGAGGGGGGGCCTGGTCGCTTGGGCGGCGCGTTTTCTGCCACAGGACCGGTCCCGAATCCCAAACCACAAATCCCAAATCTTCCAGCCTTAACAACACTAAACAGTTTTGAATTGTTTGGGATAAGAACTCTAGACACTCGAGTTCTTCATCGTTGAAACTTATTCGCGCCCGTGGGGGGGGCCGTGTGGGGCTGGTTTTGACCACGACGTTGGACTTGGTCATACGTGTTCGCGATACGACCCGACTTGGAAGGGAGGTGTCCAGAGGGACACATACATACGCGTGCCCCTTTGTTGTCATAGGCCCCTTCCACATCACACATCTCACTACCAAAGTAGCTGGCTGCGATGTACTATTTGGCGTTACTTTCCATTTGGTAGCCGAGCGGGCCGCACTCTGGTGTGGTTGGCTCTTGCTCTCACCCTCATACTCCGAGGCACGATCTACGCGTCCGTTGTCTTCTACAACCCTGAGCCCACAGCCTACCCGCACCTTTTTATTTCTTTCGAGCTGAGCTTGGAATCGAACAGAATCAGCAAGAGCCTGCACGAGAGGTCCGACGTATTTCCAATAGCATGGGTACCATCTATACTACCGTTCTGAAGTACTTCGAAGCTGTCCATCCGTCGAAAGATGGACTGACAACACAGGCACGGAAGCATGCCGCACGGAAGCGTGCGAAGCCTACAACCACGATGTTTTACCAAGACCGTGAACAGTTTTAATTCTCCGGGATGATCATTCATGCCACCATCTGGCTGTGTACTGGGTCCGCCATAGTGTGCATGCATCGTGGTGGTGGAGGGAGTGACATCAATTCTCGGGAAATTGCTTATGCGGTAAATGCGTGGTTGACTCTTACATGACCCCGCAACACGAGGCAGTGGCCCTCCAACGAAAGCTAGGGGGCCTTGCGAGGGATAGGTGCATGCGCATACCACCTGACATCGTAAAATGCTGTGTGGACATACGTGGAACACACACCGGCCCCGTAGCGTACATCATGTTCATATTGAGCATGACATCTGAGCATCTTGAAGATGAGCGTCTGCTCACTTCAGGTGCTCAACTGGTTGGCTTCCACGTGCCCCACGACGACTGACTCAACGAAACCCCAGCCAGGTTCGAGATGGCACGAACGGAAGTACGATCGGCAGGATTTGACATCCCCAATTTCCAACTCCTGACCGCGGTAGTTTCCCGCGCCCGTGGCGTTGGCGCCCAACGTGGAACGCAGCTACTTCAACCATTCAGCCACCAGATGCCACGCACACAGGTTGATTCGAATCGTTGCTGGACAGCATGCGGTCTGTAGGACATCGCAGAGCGATCGCCTTGGAATATCAACTCAAAATTGAACAGGGACGAGGAGGTGGAGGTAGCAATGATGCAGATCATACACGTACGTTTGCTACTGATACGTCGGCGCTTGGAAGCGAGCCGAGTCGCGTTTGTTGGGCAGATGAAGGTGGCGAGAACACCGTTCTGTTGGCCGACCCCAGGCACCAAACACGAATACCGATCTGCAACACTGGAACGCGACACGTACTTCACCGCACCCTGGGGCGGAGCAGAACCCATCATCCGATATTGTGCCACCGATGCCGGGTTCGATTCGGGGACGGCCACTGGTACTATCTCATCCAACGTCACTGAGGCATTCGATTGGACTGGCGTTCAAACTATGGAGAATGACGAACAGAAGGGAACACATGTACGTTGGCGGTGGCAACAGGCAAAACATAGGTGGAGGTTTACACGACAGCCAGTTCGACGGGCGAGACGGAAGACCATGGAAGACCGCGAGGCTGATTGGAGGAAAGGGCAAATGCAAGAGATGGCGGAGACTGTTGCACGGATCAATACATACGATCAATACGAGGAGATTTCCCAGACAGTCTTGCACTTAGGGGCTCTTACTTCTAGAACAAGCATGTGGACTTGTGGGTCGGTCTGGCGGCTATGTCGCCGCCATCTCCGCCCCGTCGCCACCGTCGCCGCCCCGTCGCCGCTTCGTGGCCGCTCGTCGTCTTGGACTGAAGGTCGTTATGGCGACTATGTAGTCGCCATCGCCGCCCCGTCGCCGCTCGTCGCCGCCGTCAGATTGCACCACATGTATTGTTTTGCCTTGCGTTCCTCTGCATTGCGTTGCTTCGCATTGCTCTGCCTTGCTTTGTATTATTTTGCTTTGCAAATGTCGCGCCGCGTCAATTGCACCACGAAGTTTGCACAACATAAATGCACCACATAGATTGTGCATCACATATTGCACCGCGTGGATTGCACAACACAGATCACACCACAAGTGTTGCACAGCAAAGATTAGATCGCACAGGTTGGACCACGCATAATGCACCACCTACATTGCGCCAGATACGTTGCACGATATCGATGGCACAAACTATATTCTCCTTTCTAGAAGATTGATAGATTCTCCCCCCCTCCCCCCCCCGGACTTATCGGTTCCCCTTGGGATACTATGGTTTCATATATAGATATGGCACACTCGTCCATCCTAAATATGAAATCGTACCATCCCAGCCAAACCGGGCCCCCCCCCCCTGCGGCTCCCTTGTAAAAAGCATTATGCGGTGGCATGTTTTGTTCTAACATAACACTTTTTGCGCGAATCCCTTGCAAACAATGGGACGAAGTGCACACGCGCGCGTCGTCGCGCGCGCATGCCGAAATCCTTCAAAAACCTTCGGTGCCGGAAGGATTTCGCAATCGAGTTTCCAAAAAACATGCATAAACACAGGGTTTCGCAACACTGATTTGCTAAAAAAACTTACGCGCGAGCTCTTGCGAAATCTTGGGAAAACCATAGGTTTTTTAATATGTTCACAACATGCTACCAAACGGGCGTCGCGCGCGCGAATATCGAAATCTGTCGAACGCCCTTGCGCGTGTGCCGTCGCGAGAATCCTCTGCAAAAAATTGGACGAAGTGCAGACGCGCGCGTCGTCGCGCGCGTATGCCGAAATCCTTCAAAACCCATCGGTTTCGGAAGGATTTTAAAATCGTGCGCCCAAAAAACCTACAAAAACACAAGGTTTCGCAACACGGATTTTCAACAAAAGGGTGCGCGCGCGCTCTTGCGGCGTCGTCGTCGTCGTCGTCGTCGTCGCCGTCCTCCCTCCTCCCGCGTCGTCGTCGTCGTCGTCGCCTACGTCGTCCTCTGTTTTTCCTCGTGTTCGTCGTCGTCGTCCTCTTTGGCGTCGTGGTCGTTTCCGTCGTCGTTGTCGCCGTGGTCGTCCTTCTCCTCCCTCGTCGTCGTTGTCGTCCGTCGTCGGCGTCTCGTCGTCGTCCCTCCTATTTCGTCGCCGTCGTCGTCGTCGTCGTTGTCGTCGTCGTCGTTTTCTCTCCTCCCTCGTCGTTGTCGTCGTCGGCGTCGCCGTCCTTCCTCCTTCTTCGTCGTTCGCGTCGTCGCCGTCCTCCCTCCTCCCTCGTCGTTGTCGTCGTTGTCGCCGTCGTCGTCCTCCCTCCTCCGTCGTCGTCGTCTTCGTTGGCGACGTCGTCGTCGTCTTCGTCGTCGTCGGCGTCGGCGTCGTCGTCGTCGTCGTCGGCGTCGTCGTCGTCGCCGCCGTCGTCGTCGTCGTCGGCGTCGTTGACGTCGTCGTCGTGGTCGTCGGTGTCGTCGTTGTCGTCGTCGTCGGCGTCGTCGTCGTCGTTGTCATCGTCGTCGTCGTCGTCGCGTCGGTGTCGTCCTCGTCGTCGTCATCGTTGTCGGCGTCGTCGAAGTCGTTGGAGACGTCGTCGGTGTCGTCGTCGTCGTTGTCGGCGTCGTCGTCGTCGTTGTCGCTGTCGTCGTCGGCGTCGCTGTCGTTGCCAAGTGCCATTTGGTACCCACCGTCACGGCCTTAAGAGATTTTGCAAACCAAGTTGCGGGTGGGTGGGTGGGATGTTTGCGCGAGCAGTGGAGTGGACAATTCATTGCGAACAGAAATTAGTTCCAATCCATAGATGGCACCACATGTGTTACACAGCATACATATCTTGTACAACATATATTGTACCGCAGACAGTGCAGAACACATATTGCAACATTGCAACACGTAGATTGCACATCATTGGTTACACCACGTAGATGGCACAACAGAAACCGCTCCACATAGATCGCACAACATTTATTGCACCACATAGATTGCACAACGTATAAAAGGCACCACACACATATATATATATATATATATATATATATATATATATATATTGCAACGCGTAGATTGCGCCACATGGATTGCACCACATAGATCGCGCCACAGATTGCACCACATTCGCTCGCACGAACAGACTGCACCACAGATTATGCGCCACAGACATTGCTCATTGCTAGAAACACATTGTTTTGGGCCCACGCTGGTTAACATTCTCTATGGGAAAAGGGCACCAGAGGTCGTAGGACGATTGGGAAGGGAGAAGGCAGACAAGGCACGTAGCCCCCGTGGATGTGACGGTAGCGCCCTTAATTTCCATAATTTCTGTAGTGACAGGCATTTCGTCAGAGAATATCCAGGTGAGGGTTACGGAAAGAGGTGCCGATGCGAATTTTGGTTCCAGTGCCGAGGGCGTTGTACAGTATTTGTTTCTCGAAGAATTTCAGAATATGGAGTCCATTGGCTTCACTTGCGGCAATATCATGGATGGTTTCGGCGGGCTGCAGTCTTACGCCCATGGAATGTCTGCCGAGTTCATCCATCACCACGCGATCAATGACATCGAGGTGACGTTTCAGGAGTGGATCGTCGGCAGCGGCGACAACGTCATGATCGATGACTCCGACGACTAGACGATCCCGGCGACGCAGGAGTGGATCGAAATGAGGAATGCCCAGCAGGGGAATTTGCTTGCACGACCACGTGGAGCATACTGTGAGACCGGCTACGACGCGATGAGGAGCAGGACAGCGACGTTTGCCAAGACGATCATTTGATCGAGCGTGCTATGGAGATGGCCAACGCCTACGACTACGAGGAGACCGCCATACCCCATTGGCGCTGTGATCGTGGGCGCTGGCAGCGGGCACTGTGGATTGCCATTGATATGCGATGCAGGGCAATGGTCACAAGGCCACCGGCTTTGATCGGAGACGAGCCTATTCCCACAACCAACGGCACCCCAGGTCGCCCAACGCGTCCTGACGATGCCACACAGACAGCGAGCCTGAACCTACACCTGCAGCTGCTTCGGCCGATGGCCAGGGCGGCCCAATGTCGATCCTCACCCGGGGGCGCTGATGGCGACGAGTCTGGCATGAACGATGACGAGGCCGCAGTTTCCATAGTTGGCGGAATCGGTCATGGCATAGATGGCTGGGGATGGGCGTGGGGATGGCCGTCCTCTAAGGTCATCCCCACCCTCTTCCTTTCCCTCTCGTGCTCCCTCCTCCCGCCCGCCCCCCGGTCTTCCCTCTTCGAGGAGAAGGAGGAGGAGGAGGAGGACGAGGAGGAGAATGAGGCGCGGAAGTGGTGATGACGACCGACGCCCATGCACGACGACGGCGACGACGCCACCGACGACGACCACGACGGACGACCGAAAACCGACGACGGACGACCAGCGGGGTTCGGCGACCGACGGCCGGCGATCGCGACCACCACGACGACGACCACGACGACGACGACGACGACGACGACGACGACGACGACGGCGACGACGACGACGATGACGACGGAGTGGGCGATCGCCTCGGCGTTTCGTCTCTCTCTGGGGGTACCTGGACCCGGGCGGAGCCCGTGCGGCTCGGCGAGGTGTTGGCGGCGCAGTCTCCCTCGCGAGGATGTGCGCGGCACGGGGGGGGGCGGACGGGGAGGAGGAGGAGGAGGAGGAGGAGGAGGAGGAGTACGACGACGATCAGGAGGGAAAAAACACAGACACAATGAATCGTCGATTCCCCCGGAAATCTGGGAAAATATGGAAAGTGGGGGGGACAAAAACCCAGAAAATACGGGGGAATATGGGGAATCCTGGGATTTGTGTCTATTTATTTGTGTGTCCTTGGGCCCCTTCGGACGACGACTTCAACACAAGCGGGCCCCGCTGCTCGCTCGTGTTTTTGTTTGCACACGGCTTCTGCCCTGCACCCAGTAAGCCTTTGTCTTTGAACCCGAAGGAACCCGAAGGGGGGAGGAGGACGACGAGGACGAGGACGAGGACGAGGAGGGAGGAACGCGAAGCGAAGTCCACACGGCTTCTGCCTTCCACACGGCTTCTGCCTTCCACAACGTTTTCTTCCACGCGGCTTCTGCCTTCCACACTGCCTTGGAACCCGAAGGAACCCGAAGGGGGGAGGAGGACGACGACGACGACGAGGACGAGGACGGGGGCGAGGAGGGCGGAGCGAGAAGCGACGTTCAGTTGGAGGAAGACGGTAGGCACGCAGCTACGCGCGCAGAGGCACGCACGCTCACGCCTTGTTCTCAGCCGGCACGCGGGTGAATGCAGTCCGCGGGCCAAGCAGAGCTAAGGCGGGCTGGCGTTAGAGTAGTGTGACCACGTGTGCGGGAGAGTGCCCACGGATGACCCAGGCCAGAGGCCCCGGTTGAAGTCAGACGTCGCCGACCGCCGAGCACTTGGGGTCAGGCGTGTGCAGGGTGAAAAGAGGCGGGCGAAAATATCCAGGGGCGCAGCCAGGGAGGGAGAGGGGCGGAAGCAGGGAGAAGCTGGAGTCGGCGGCGAGCCCAGAAGGGGGAAGGCAGAGGGCGCGGGCTTTCTCAGAAGGCTCGGAAGGCCTCCGGCCTTTCGAGAAGTTTTCGAAATTTTCCCCGGAAAACGCGCAAGCTTCTCCGAATGCGCGAGGGTTTCTGGGAAGCCCCGCCGCCTTCTGAGAATGCTGGCCCCTGCTCACCTCCCTCCCGGGCGCGCCGCCGATGGACGGCATGCCAGGAAGGGCGACGACACCAGCGAAGGCCCCGCAGCGACCGGTGGAGGAGGTGAAACCCTTGCGAATCTGAAGAGCGGCAGCGGGGTCCGAGATGGCAAGACAGGCCTCAGGAGGAAAAGAAACACACAGACACAATTAATCCTCGATTCCCCAGAAAATATGGGAAAATATTGGAAGTGGGGGGGGAAGACAAAAACCCAGAAAATATAGGAAAATATGGGGGATATTTTTATTTGTGTGTATTTATTTGTGTGTCCCAGTTCCCCTTCAAGGCCGCCGATCGCGGGACGGACACGACCGACAGGCACGATAAGACCGACGGACGCGGCAGACGCGACACCCGCAGCTCCTCTGCGGGAGCTCCGGGGCGGAAGCGCGCCTCCCTCCTCGCGGGTCCGGCGGCGCGCCTCGTGGCCGCTCTGCCGCCGCTCCTTCGGAGAGGGAGCCACAGGCAGGAGGGAGCGGCAAGGAAAAGAGATCGAGCAGAACGCACACAGGGCATAGCAGGCAAGAGGCAGCTCGACACTGCAGCGACGAGCAAGGAATGTATCCAGTCTTTAAGCGGGTACGGCGGTACCATTCAGGGCCTTAGGTGCTGTTGATGCGGTCGCACCCGCCACACGTGGACACCCCACCTGTGGAACTAGTTTCGTCCGTAACAGCTCCCATGTCGTCGTATAAAAAAACGCACACAGGCGGTATCATTGGACCCCCAGCGACGCCTGAGCCTGCGGCAGCCGTGTCGCTGCCGTGGTCGAGTCGCGAACGAGCACCGATGGGCTATTGCACCACCCGCACGCCCAACACACAGGTGGGAGACGCTTCCGTGGAGGTTGTTGCGCCGTCTGGTTCTGAAAAGTATCTTGGGCGTGTTGTCTGTTTGGGAGAATTTCACGAAGCTGAATTCTGCAATCGGATGGCGTCGGCATGGAGAGTTTTTGCCAAGTTCAAGTACGTCTAATATTCAAGACGGTACGCTTGAAAGTCGAGACTCAAGTTGTCTGATACGGTGGTCGCACCTGATGCCTTGTACGGGTCCGCCGCCTGGACAATGAAGGAGGACGCACGGAGAAGGCTGCTGACCACTTGGGGGAAAATGCTGCGAAAAATGTTTCAAGTTCCCATGCGGTGCCAGGAAACATGGGTGGAGTACGTGGTCCGGTCAACGCGTGAGTGTGAGAGGTACATGCGGAATCTCGGGAGGCGGGACTAGGCAGCTATTCAAAGTGAGCGCAAAGACAAGTTTGCCACTGCGACCTCCAGCGACACGAGGGGCAAGTGGAACACGAAGTTGTTGAACTGGAAGCCCTTCTTCCGCACTGTCGCGCAGAGACCGGCGGGGCGACCCCGCAAGAGGTGGGGTGACCGTGAGTGACCCGCGCAAGGCATTTCAGTCAGTTGATGTCCTCTTCTGTTTTCCCTTCGTTTGCTGGCTGCGCCGGGCCACGCGCCCACAGGTGCCGCCCTCCTGGGCGGAATGCAGCCGCTCGCTCGCTCGCTCGCACGCCCAACACACAGGTGCCGATGCGTGGATCATGGGGAAAGTGCGCCAGTGGATCTCCCTGAATACACTAAAGGATGGGGGGTTCCAGAACCCCCCCGCCCTCCTCCCTCCTTCAAGGGGGGGGGGGGGTCCGGACCCCCCCCCCCCTCCCCCCCCCCCCCCTTGCGCTGGAAAGGAAGGGGGGGGTTCGGACCCCCCTCCCCCTCGTGTAGGGAGTACGGAGTTGGGAGTAGGGAGAGGTAAGTAGAGAGTAGTGAGTTAGTGCGTAGTGAGTAGTGAGTATTGGGTAGTGAGTCGTAGTGAGTAGTGAGTATGAGTAGTGGGTAGTGAGTGGCGAGTAGGGAGTAGGGAGTAGGGAGTGGGGAGTAGTGAGTAGTGAACTGTGAGTAATTAGTGTGTGGTGATAAGTGAGTAGTGAGTGGCGAGTAGTGAGTTGTGTGTAGTGAGTAGCGATTAGCGAGTAGTGAGTACGGAGTAGGGAGTAATGAGTACTGGGTAGTGAGTAGTGGGTAGTGAGTAATGGGTGGCGAACAGTGATAAGTGAGTAGTGAGTTGTGGGTGGTGCGTAGTGAGTAGTGAGTAGTGAGTAGTGAGTAGTGAGTAGCGAGTAGTGAGTATTGAGTAGTGAATAGTGAGTAGTGAGTACTGAGTACTGAGTAGTACGTAGTGCGTAGTGAGTAGTGAGTAGTGATGAACAGTGCATAGAAAATAGTCGGTAGTGGCAGTGGGTAGTGAGTAGAGTAGGGAGTAGTGAGCAGTGAGTAGTAAGAAGGGGGTAGCGAATAGTGGGAAGTGGGTAGCGATTGGTGAGTAGTGGGTAGTGAATAGTGACTAGTGAGTTGTGACTAGTGACTAGAGACTATGTAGTGACTAGTGAGTGGGAGTAGTAAGTAATGAGAATAGTGAGTAGCGGGGGGTAAATAGTGAGTATTGAGTAGCGAGTATGGGAGTAGCGAGTACTGAGTACTGTGTAGCCAGTATTGTGTAGGGAGTAGCGAGTAGCGAGTAGTGGGTAGTGAGTAGTGATTTGTGGGCAATGGGTAGTTAGTAGTGAGTAGGAGTAGTGGATAGTGGGTAATGAGTAGTGATTATTGAGTAGTGAATAGGGAGTAGTGAGTAGTGCTTAATGAGTGGTGAGTATTGAGTAGTGGGTGGTGAGGAGTGAGTAGTGAGTAGGGTGGTGGGAGTAGTGAGTAGGGAGTAGTGAGTAGCGAGTACTGGGTGGTGGGTAGTGAGTAGTGGATAGTGAGTAGTGAGTCGTGAGTAGCGAATAGCGAGTAGTGAGTAGGGGGTAGTGAGGAGGGGGCTGGAGTTAGGGGGTAGGGGGCCCCTCGTGACTCCCTTTGGGGCTGGGATTAGTGGTTAGGGTTCGGATTCGGGGTTTGGGTTTGGGTGAGGACTAGGGGTAGGGGTGGCGGGGGTTGGGTTCGGCGTCAGGGGGCGGCGTGGCGAAAGGGGGGGAGGGGTGGGGGGGTTCGGACCCCCCCCCCTTTTGAAAGGGGGGGAGGGGGGGGGGGGGTCCCCGACGACGGGTCGTGGAAAGGGGGGAGGGGGGGGTTTTGCCCGACGACGGATCGGGGAAGGGGGTGAGGGTGGGGGTCCTAACCCCCCCCCCTTGGGGAGATCCAGCGGCGCCCTCCGCACCACGCAATTCAAATAGTGCCCCAGCGAGGTCGGAGATGGTCGGAGATGGGAGCAGGGGCCCGCGAGAACGCAACATTCCCACTGACCACCGCGAGCCTGCACGTGAGCATGAGGACTGAGACAATGTAGATCCGAGCGTGCGCGCTCCAACATGCAGAAGGGCGCAATGCCCGGCCGTAAGTGGTACAGTAAGGTTCGCGTCGTGTCGACCGGCGGCGAGCCCAGCGCGGCGCTCAAGATTGAACGCCGCCCGTGGACCAGAATCGGCCCATTGTTGAACGATCCGACATTTCGGAAACGTCCGATCGCTCAAGGTTGAGCGGTCCCCGCGGTGTCAGCAACTCACGCCGGGGTCGGCACGACACGAACCTGCCGTAGCTGCGTCGGACGCAAGGCGCCGCCGCCGCCCAGGTGGGCCACCAGCCGTTCGCAAAGGCCTGCGCCATGGGTGGGCTGCAGAACCACCCGAGGTGCGCGATGGCCCGGGCGAGGTGTGACCCGTAAGCAACGCAGGGCGCACAGACAGATGCCACGAGGGCAGCCCATCAGGTCCGCAGTGGGGGCCCTGCATGGCCCTGCGCGGGCGCGGTAAGAGGGAGCTGCCGGGCCGGCAGCCGACGGGCCGGCAGCGAGCGCGGGCGACACACTCTTTTAAGTCGGCACTGCAGAGGGACCTCAGACGCGGTCGGCAGGTGGAGATGCCAACTGCGAACGAATTTGACCGAACGCGCCACGATGAAAGGGCCCAGTCATGGGAGTGCAGATTGGTGGTGAAAGGCGACAGGCGCTGCCATGCCAAAGTACAGCGGCCGAACAACACGAGGAGCATAAGCTCGTCGCGGGTAGTTTGAAGCGAAAGCAGCAGTCTGGCGTTAATGGAGGCCTCGAAGAGAGACATCAGCAAAAAGGAACACCGGATTGCAAAAAAAAAACGAAGGATTGCAAACAACCCAGGATTGCAAAAAAAAAAAAACGAAGGATTGCAAACAAACACCCGAAGGTTTTTTGCAATCCTTCGAGCGGGCGACACGCACGCACGCTTTGGCGCCGCGGCCGCGCGCAGCAGCGTCGAGGCGTGGGAAGTCGGGAGGCGGAGAACGCTCCCACGGCCGGACCGTTCAGGAGTCGGGAACAGAGCAGCACACACACACACACACACATTCTCGAAGGATTGCAAAAAAACCCTGGATTGCAAAAAAACCCTGGGTGAAGGATTGCAAAAAAAACATGTTTTTTGCAATCCTGGGTTTTTGTTGCAATCCTTCGTTTCTTTCTCTCTCTCTCTCTCTTTCTCTCTGTTTCTGTTTTTTTGTTCTCTTTCTCTCTGTCTCTCTCTCACTCTCTCTTTCTTTCTCTCTGTTTCTGTTTTTTTGTTCTCTTTCTCTCTGTCTCTCTCTCTCTCTCTCTGTTTTCCCATGCCGCTGAAGAGGCCAGTCAGCGGTCAAACGGAGGGGCGCACACAACTTGTTCGTCGCGCTGGCGACGGCGGTGAGCGAGCGCGCTGCATGCGGGGCACGCGCACGGCAGGCGAGGCACACGCACGCACGGACGCACGCGTGCAAACATGCCCCCACACACACACACACACACACACACACACACACACACACACACACACACACACACACACACACAAACGCGCCAGAGGAGGGAGAGTAGGACGGATGATATAGGAGGAGGGGTAGGAGGAAGAGGAGGAGGAGGAGGAATGCCAGGCGCTCCCCCCCCCTCCATTAGTGTTCGGCTGCTGCTTCCCATTCTACTCTACCGTTCTCCCTTTTCACCTTTTCCGGATGCGCCCCCCCTCCACCTCGGGCACTCAGCCGAGGTGGAGGGGCAGGACAGGTGGCTGCACGTCGACGACGTCCTACAGCCATGAGCGAGCGAGCGAGGAGGAGGAAACGGGGGAGGACAACGACGAAGGAGGACGAAGAGGGGGGAAGCGGGGAGGGGCAAAAGGGTCGTCGTCGAGTGTCGGAATGGGCACGTGCCGTTCTCGGAGACGGGAGCAGCAGAGTCTTGCAGAAGACGCCTGGGCACGCGGCAGCTGTATCTCGTCATAACCACCTGCGCAAAGTAGGGAATCGCTAGAAGGGAGCGCACAACACCTGGGTGCAACCAACGACTTGAAAGTCGAGGGAAAGTCGAAGACCCGAACGGGCTGGCGCCAACGCAGGTCAAGGGGAAAAGAAGAAGCAGGGGCGAAAGGGAGAGCCGGAGCGGAGCGCGCATTAGCAATGCGCTGCTGCAGGAGGGGCCACGAAACAGCTCGAACTCGAGAGGCTATTCGCCAGAGGACAGTAGAAGTGCGAAGCGCCGTGCGAGGCAACTATCCGCGTCTGGGGCACACGCCCAGAAGTCCTTGGGAGGAGCAAAGGCTGGAAGAGGTCAGGCGGCAGAACGATTGGATAGAGGCGTACGGGGGCGTCCCACGACAAGGGAGCTTGGGCGTGCAGACAAAAAATGCCCAACAGCGCATGCTGTGCACAACATTGAGCGCAGCGATCGCAGTAGGTGCGGCAAGAAGGGGGAAGGCGTGAGAAGAAAGAGAGTGCACCAGAATTGCGCCCATCGAGTCAGCATCATAACTCGCCGTGGCTTACGAACTGCGCCTCTGCGCTGCCCAACGTCAAGATCAGCTGGGCCTGCGACAGTGTTGCCGACGCCCATGGTCATGGACATACGTATGTGCGTAGACGTTCCCGCTCGCATCGCACTCCCGCCCTGACGGTTGCGGGCACGCTGGAACCATGGGGTGTGCCAGCGCTTCCACCGTGTGGTACACGCCCATGGTCAAGGACACAAGGCCGTAGACGGCGAGATTCGCTTGCGTCCCACACCTTCCTTGCCGATTGCTGTACGATGGAACATTTGGGTGAACCAACGGGTCTGTCAGCAGCTCGATCGTCTGGTACACACCTATGGTAGTGTAGTGGACAAATGCGCGTATTCGACGTTCGTGCGCACGTCGAACTCCTTTATTGTCGCTTGTAGAAGCGCTGAAACCACCATGTCAATTTGCGCCACGACCGTGTTGAAGATGCCCATGGGCGTGGACCTATGCGCGTAGACGTAATCGCGCGAGTCGGAATCCTCAACGGTCGACGGCAGGAATGCTGGAACCATCGGGTTCCACAGCGCCGCGACGATGGTGCACACGCCCATGACCATGGACACGAACTCGCGGAAGGCCAGGGCCATGGCGGGGCGCCAACACGCGCAAGCAGAAGGCTGCTGCGCAAAGGCGGACCTGGGCCACAAATGAAATGGCGGGCCGCTCGCGCACGGAGCTCAGGGAGGAGGGAGGCACGGGCGAGGAGGAGGGGAGGGGTGGAGCAGCAGAGGCAGGAAGAAAGGAAGCAGGAGCAGGAGCAGGAGCAGCAGGAGGAGCAGTGGGAGCCACGGAGCACCGAGACCGGAGGAGGGGGCGGGTGAGGAGGCGGAGGTGGAGGAGGAGGCCTTCTGCGCTCGCGAGCTCGCCCAGGACCCGCCGCGCTGGCCAGCGAGCAGCAGGTGGCGGGGGTTGGGCTGGAGAGGGGGGGGGGTTGGAGCCGGAAGGGTCGAGGAGAGAGGAGGACTGCGTACGGCCAGGCACGTAACGTGTGCCGAGCGTGCCGCGGCGGCGGCCCCTGCGGCACGCCAGGCCTTCCGAGCGGATGGCGTCTCGCTCCGCTCCGCGCGACGGGAGGCCGGGAGGAGCTCGGGGCGCTGACGCTCGGGGGCCGGGGCGTGGTTGGCGTGTCGCGCCGGAGCGAGGTGGGCCAGGACCAGTTGCCGACACGCTACGATAGGTTTGCGTCGTGTCGACCAGCGGCGACCCCAGCGCGGGCGTTCAAGGTTGAACGCCGCCGGCGACCCAGAATCGATCGATGTTGAACGATCGGACGTTGCGGCAGCGGCCGATCGTTCAAGGTTGAACGATCCCTGCGGTGTCAAAAACCAACGCTGGGGTCGGCACGACACGAACCTGCCGTAGCGTGTCGCGCCGGAGCGAGGTGGGCCAGGACCAGTTGCCGACACGCTACGATAGGTTTGCGTCGTGTCGACCAGCGGCGACCCCAGCGCGGGCGTTCAAGGTTGAACGCCGCCGGCGACCCAGAATCGATCGATGTTGAACGATCGGACGTTGCGGCAGCGGCCGATCGTTCAAGGTTGAACGATCCCTGCGGTGTCAAAAACCAACGCTGGGGTCGGCACGACACGAACCTGCCGTAGCGTGTCGCGCCGGAGCGAGGTGGGCCAGGACCAGTTGCCGACACGCTACGATAGGTTTGCGTCGTGTCGACCAGCGGCGACCCCAGCGCGGGCGTTCAAGGTTGAACGCCGCCGGCGACCCAGAATCGATCGATGTTGAACGATCGGACGTTGCGGCAGCGGCCGATCGTTCAAGGTTGAACGATCCCTGCGGTGTCAAAAACCAACGCTGGGGTCGGCACGACACGAACCTGCCGTAGCGTGTCGCGCCGGAGCGAGGTGGGCCAGGACCAGTTGCCGACACGCTACGATAGGTTTGCGTCGTGTCGACCAGCGGCGACCCCAGCGCGGGCGTTCAAGGTTGAACGCCGCCGGCGACCCAGAATCGATCGATGTTGAACGATCGGACGTTGCGGCAGCGGCCGATCGTTCAAGGTTGAACGATCCCTGCGGTGTCAAAAACCAACGCTGGGGTCGGCACGACACGAACCTGCCGTATCGTGTCGCGCCGGAGCGAGGTGGGCCAGGACCAGTTGCCGACACGCTACGATAGGTTTGCGTCGTGTCGACCAGCGGCGACCCCAGCGCGGGCGTTCAAGGTTGAACGCCGCCGGCGACCCAGAATCGATCGATGTTGAACGATCGGACGTTGCGGCAGCGGCCGATCGTTCAAGGTTGAACGATCCCTGCGGTGTCAAAAACCAACGCTGGGGTCGGCACGACACGAACCTGCCGTAGCGTGTCGCGCCGGAGCGAGGTGGGCCAGGACCAGTTGCCGACACGCTACGATAATCCGATAGCCCTTATAACGGCGACGATGGAACACAGTGCCGGGGAACTGCTTTGAACATCACCAGTCGTTCAAAGCAGTGCCCCGGCACTGCTTTGAACGATGCGGAAATGCGATCAGCAGGAGCCTTCGTCTGTTCCTTCTCCTCTTCTCGTCGCTGTATGCTCTTCCTTGTCCTCCCTCCTCCCCCGTTCCCTCTCTAATTAATTACCTCGTTCTCCCAGTCTCACGCGCACTCTTCCTCCCCCCTCTCCTCCTCCTCTTCCTGCTTCTCCTCCTCGTCCTCCTCCTCCTCCGCCTCCTCCCCCTCATTTGTTATATTTCTCCGTCCTTGTCCTCCTGTCCCCGTTCTCCTTCTCCCTCTCCTCCTCCTCCTCCTCCTCGTCGTCGTCGTCCTCCTCCTCTTCCTCCTCCTCCTCCTCCTCCTCCTCCTCTTCCTCCTCCTCCTCCTCCTCCTCCTCCTCCTCCTCCCCTTCTTCCTCCTCCTCCTCCTCCCCCTTTTCCTCTCCCTCCTCCTCCTCCTCCTCCTCCTCCCCCTTCCCCCTCTTCCTCCTCTGCTATCACTCCTCCATAATTCCTGTCCGCTCCTCCCCTTCACTGATCTTCCTCTTCGTCATCATCATCCCTTTCGTCGCACGCCTCTTAATCCTCAATCGGTTCCCAATCTTCTCGACTTTCTTGTCATCCGCGTCCTTGGCTGTTGGAGGGGCCTCAGGAATTCTCAGGGCTCTTGTGTTGCACGCGAAGGCACACCTCCCAGGAACGCATCATCCTCCTCACATTCACCCTCCTCCTCCTCATCCTCCTCCTCCATGCACGTTCGGCTCAAGCCCGCGCCGACGGTAGGTTTCACGGCGGTTGGGCGGGCTCGCGCCCGCCTCCGCGGCCTGCAGTCGGGGCAGAGATGCGTGCAGGGTGGGATGACAAAGCGGAAGAGGAAACACGGGCCGCAGTTGCGGATTCTTCAAAGAGCAGCGGCGGCGGTTGGGGAACAAGTGGGGGTTGGGGCGGCCGCAGTGGCGGATACGGCGGCGGAGGTGACCGCAGTGGCGGCTGGGGCGGCGGAGATTCTCTTGGCGGATGGAGAGGAAAAGCGCAGGATGGCGGCGACGGAAGTGACCGCAGTCGCGGATGGGAGGGCGGCGGATGGGGCGGCAACGGATGCGAGGGTTGGGGAATGGAGGGCGCCCGCTGGTGGGACGACGAGGGTGGCTGGTGGAATGCATGGGAAGGTGGCCGCTCGAGTGCCTCGGCAGGTTCTCCTGCCGCGGAGCCCGCGGCCGCAACAGCGGCGGGCAAAGGAGGCGGTCCCCTGCTTCCCCCAGGGCGCGAAGAACAAGGCGCAGTTGCGCTGTTTCAAATTGTGCGCAATGAGCCGCTGCCAATTTTCAAGTTGGAATTCTTCGAGAACTTCAGGGCGAACTGGAACGGCAATTATAAGCAGCACAACGCGGCCTTGAAGTGGTTCCGAGACGAGTACGAAGACCGAGAAAACCCTTTCGGCAGCCGCACGCCCGTCTTCGGAGGTACCGCAGTTGCGGAGGAAATTTCGAAGATCCTTAAGTACCGCGCAAAGGGGAAGGCGCAGGACAACAGGGATTGGGACTGGGACCACACTGTCAAAGTGCCGTGGTCTTGGCTGGAGATGGTCGCGCAGATGGATGGACCTACAATGCTGCGCGTCGTGTGCGGCCCTGACAATGACCGCAGTCGCGGGTTGGTCCGCTGCGAGTGCCGCCCGTGCCCTAGCAGTCTCGACAACATGAGGCACACGAAAGGGGTGGACAGAGGACAGGCGCAAAGAATCCCTCTGCCCCAGTGGGATTTCGTCCTCATCCGCGACGACGGCTCGGGCATTCGCGTCCACCCATCCTGGTCTAGCCCGAAGTTCAACGCGTATGAGGTGGAGCCGCACTCGCATCCCGTGCGGGGCCCGAGGGCAGGTCTCGGCAAGAGCGATGGCCACGGAACGTTCACGTTCTGGAAGATGCTGCACGCCCATCCGAATCCTGGGCGGTTCGACGCGAGCAAGGGGGCGCAGCTGCAACCGCGGTGGTCCGCGCAGCCTTGACACCGCAGTTGCGGGATTGCGCAGCCATGGAACCGCAGTTGCGGGGACCGATCGCGTGACGCCGCGCTCGTTTGACTCACTATGCGCGCTTTCGGCCGCAGTTGCGGCGCTGCCTTCTAGCGACTTCATACAGCTTGGCCGCAGTTGCGGCGCTCCCACGACTGACCGCTGTAATTAGGTGCTTCGGGCGCGCATCACCTCCGTTGAAGCACTCGTGACGTTAATTAGCGCGGCCGCAGTTGCGGAGACAGGTACTTAAACAGATGGATCCGCAGTTGTTCGTCGTCCTCGTCGCCCCTTCCCCGTCGTCCTCGTCGCAGTCTCCTCCCTCCGCCTTTCCTCCTCGTCGCAGTTCCTTCCGTTGGCCGTAGCCCGCCTCCGTTGGCCGAGTCATTTCCCGTCGTCCTCGTCGCAGTCCCCCCCGAGGGCCGCAGTTGCGGACTTTGTTGATTCCTCCTCCTCCGTTTCTGCCCCGTCATCCTCGTCGCAGTCCCCTTGCTCCTTTCACCCTCGTCTGAGCTCTTCGCGCCATCCTCTTCCGTCGCGTCCTCTCCATCCTCCTCTTCGCCTTCCTCGTCCTCATCCCCGCCGTCTCCCTCGTTGTCCTTCCTCTCCCAAGCCGGCCGCAGTTCCCCCGTCGGACGGGGGCCGCGCGCGGCCACGCCATGGACCCAGGTCGCAAAGCCGAGGTCGACAAGCGGTTCGCCGAGCTGAAGCAGCAACTGCGGGAAAGGTTCGGCCTGCAAGGGGCTGCCGCGGATGCCGCAGTCGCGGAGCCGACGGAGGACCGCAGTTGCGGAAGCCCCGAGCGACCGCCGCGCGAGGCCTCCCCGCAGTCGTCTAGCTCCTCGCGGGAATATCGGCCGCCGCCGCCGATAAGCGCTGCGAGTGGGAGCTCTGCTGGTGGGAGGCGCGAAGAGGCGCAGTTGCGCAGGGCGCACTTGACCCCCAAGGCAAAATGGGGGCCTCGGGCGCAGACGCCGACGAAGCAGCAGGACCAACCAGCAGTGACGGGAGCCGCCACCGAGACCGCAGTTGCGGGGGTGGCCGGCGAGCCAGGTGCCGCGCGCGGCTCATCTGGGAGCAGCGCGCCCTCGGCCGTGCTGCTCGCAGCCGAGTCCAAACGAGGCGCCCAACCCGAAGACGAGGCCGCCTCCCAGGAGAAAGCCGCCGAGACAATCGCCTCGGCCGATTCGCGGCCGAGGAAAAGGCCGCCTCCCACGGAAGGCTCGCCGCTGTCAGAACCGCAGTCGCGGGGTCGCGCGGGGCCTCCGTCGGAACCGCAGTTGCGGGAAGATGCGGGAGCACCGCGGAAGAAGCAGCGGACCAGGTCCCCTCCAGGGATAAACTACGTTGGGGAACGCCCCAAGTGGAACGAAGGATTCCTTCGTACAGCAGACGGCAATCGGGTTCCGTCCACCATCGCTTTGGTGTTCAACGTGGTGGTCATCACGAAGG